AGGAGGCAGAGAAGGAGCCAACAGAGGGAGGAGAGGATCCAGGAGGAGAGAGTGATGCAGAGAGGCCAAGGAGAATGAGAATGGAGAAGAGGCCGCTGGGTCTGGCCCCTAAGAGCTCACTGGGCACTTTGGAGAGACCCATCTCGGTGGAATAGTGATATTGGAAGCTGGAATTGGAGGGGCTTAAGGAGAATGGGGGTACAGGGAGCGAGGCCCCCATCACAGAGGTATAAGCAGAAGAGACCTAAGGAGGCGGCGAGATGGAAGGAGAGAGCATCTGTAAATGAGATGAAACTTGTAAGAAATTTCAAAAGTGCTTAGCCCAATGCCTGGCACATAGTAGGTGCAACATAAATGCTTTGTCAGATCTGCTGTCTAGCCAGGCCACTGCCATTCTTCGTTCCCAAATACAAGGTTAGAGATTTCTCTCTGCTGAATTTCATCTTCCAGCCTGGCAAGCGGGACCCTTTCGGTCTGACTCAGTCGTCCAGTATGTTAACTCTGCCTCCCCACTGGGGTCACCGTGCCATCTGTGCCTTTATCCCAGTCCTTGAGAAGGGTGTTAGGAATCCCACTGTCTGTCATCAGTCTTAGAACTATGGACAGCTCTGATCCTTGCCCTGGAAGGAGTTGGGGGAGCTGTGGATTGCCAAGGAAAAGAAAAGGGCTTTCAGGTGAAGGATGCCTGAGCAGAAGCATTGAGGCAGGAATGAGGATCTCAGGTTCCACCTTCTCACTGGTGGATGGAAAAAACTCAGGCCCATGGGGAGTGACTTGCCCGAGGTCTTAAAACATGTCATTGATCTGATTTCTCTTTGTTAAATAACTGCCTCCCACATTTAAGGTCCTTGGCATACAAAGATAAAAAGAAATCCAAGGTTTCCAGGTACCTGGAAGGGGAGGGGTGGCACATAATTCACACAGATGTGATGGGAGCCAAGCCAGAGCACTCTGAGGGCAGAGGCAGTAAGTGGCCAGGGGGTTTCTGTTTCTCAGTCCCCTGCACCTTCCGCTGCCCCATCTAACTGACTCCCTTCCTCGTGTGTAACCCCATGACCCAAGCATGGCACCTCCCACAGCTGCAGCTCTTCTGCCATGGTGCCTGCATGACCCCTTCCTGGAGCCTCTGCTGGCATGGACCTGGGCTCATGGCCTTGATTCTGCCCCCCGACCCCACCCCCGCAACAAGCCAGTGAGTGCCTCTGGCCCCCCTGACCAGAATGCACCTTGGCCTCCTGGCTTGGGCTTGAGAATGGGGCAGAGGGGGCTCGGAGAGAGGGAAGAGTCAGTTACAGAGCCACGTTCTTACCTTCTGATACCGAGAAAAGCAGCTACTTCATCAGGGAAGACCCTGGACGATTTCTTTGTGTATGTCGGCACCGGGTGGTTTGGGATGAATCTGTAAGCCACAGGCCAAAGCCAGAGCTGGCACAGCCACCGTAACTTGGCAGAGAGAGCAGCTGTCCGAGGTGTCAGGGGCCCACCCTGTGACCTCGTACCACGGCCAGTGACCCCGCCTCTCCCCTGATAATGGACACTCCTGATTTCCCTCCTGCAGCACTGACCACCTTTGGGGTTTCCTTCCTCCTAAGTGCAAATGTATTTCCCAGAGTTGTGGCTGGGGCCTCATGCCGGTCGTCTCCCTCCTGGGGGTGCACTGCACATCTCCCCACCTCTCCCTCGAGGTCTTCATGTCTTTTATCCTGCCAGCCAAAGCTAATGTCCCAGAGCAGCCCCCTCACCCGCCCCCTCCTGCCTCGCCAGCCTGCTGCACTCACGTCTGTCGGCTTTAAGTGCTCCGGCACAGAGTGCTTTTACCTTCCTTCCCCCTCACCCCACTGTGCTAGCCCCAGAACAGAGGAAACGGCTGTGGTGACCACAACTGGCCTTGGCCTAGACTTGGGGAAGGAAGATTTGACAATCAGCATTGCCAGGGTGGCTGAGGATGGCTGTGAAAAAACTTCCCCTTCTTCTACCTGCCGGGCCAAGCTGGTGGCTCCAGCATCAGGGGTGGGAGGTGTGAAGGCCTTAGGGTGATGAGGAGGGAGGGGATGAGGAGGGAGGTTCTGCATCACCAGCAGAGCCCCAGAGAGCCAGGGTCAGAGGTCTCCCTCTCGACTCCCCCAAGGAGGGCAGGGAGGAAGAGGCACGGGAGGGAAGGGGCTCCCACAGCCTCAGCAGACAGAGGATCTGAGTGAGGGAAGAGGAGCTGCAGGGGGACATGGGAGAAAGAATAGTGTGTGCAGAGGCTGGAGCATGGGCCCGTGTCCTGCTGCTGCTTACTACCTCAGTGTGACCTGGGAAAATAGCTCACTTCATTCTGCCTCAGTTTCTTGGTCTGTGAAATGGGAGGGTTAGCCTGGCTGGTCTCCAGATTCCCAGGGTACAGGCTGAATTAGCAGTTGTCCAGCTTGGAGCTCAGGCCTTGGTCTGGGGATCGGCTCAGGTCAGCTTCCCCCCCGGTGAGCAGCTGATGATTTCTTGGGAATGGGCCCAGAGGGGTGAGGTCAGGAAGCCAGGTCTCGAAGCCCGGGCCTCTCCATGCGTTGTTCTGTTGGTCTATCAACTACCATGCTCCCAGTCCAAGGAGAGGCCATTGCCAGACTTGTTAGTGTGTATTCTAAATGAGGAAGTGAATGTGGACACAAATGGATACCAAAGGGGGAGTGTGGGAAGCCCGAGAAGGAAGGTTAGGACCCCTCTTCCCCAGAGACCCGGGTGTGGCGGTACACACCCATAGCCCCCCTGTGGGAGGCGGGGCCTGGCAGATCTCTGGGCTGCCGGGGACCAGGTCAGAAACGGAGCGGCCTCCCCTCCATGAGCAGTGGGATCAGGCCAGTGAGTGGTCAGTGCAGTCCCAGCACAGGCAAGGTCGGGGGGCCTCCTCTGTGAAAAAGAGAAAAGAAAGAAACATAATCAGAGACTGTCAGAGCTTGAAAGGTCTGAGTTAAAAGGCACCTTTGGGTCTAGAATGCCAGAGCTGCAGTAGAAGGGGTTTGGACACAGAATTTGGCTTAGGACTGGGAAGGGCCTTAGAACAGGGGATGTCAGGGCTGGGAGGGGCCGTAGGACAGGGAATGTTAGGGCTGGGAGGGGCCTTGGAACAGGGGATGTCAGGGATGGAAGAAGCCTTGGAACAGGGCATGTCAGGGCTGGGAGCGGCCTCAGAACAGGGAATGTCAGGCACCTGGACGTGAACGCAAGACCAGTTTGGAGTAACTAAAGAGGAAGACTAGCAGCTTTGGGGAGGGGCGGGGTCCTTGAGTTTAGGTAGAGCTGAGGAGAAAGAGCATTTACAGGTGTGGAGGACAGCCAGGGCAAAGGCACAGAGGTGGGAAAGAGAGATAGCAAGAAAGGCACTGTGACTTGCCTGGAGAGTGTGGAGGGGAATGAAGGGTCAGATGACGGGAATTATTACCAAAGGATTTTGTATTTGGTCTCAGGGGTAATAGGGAGCCATTGGAGTTTACTGGGTAGGAGTGGTGATAGTTCATTTGCCAGCTCTGTGGAGGATGGCCTGGAATGAGGAGAGACTGGAGCCAGGGAGGTGAGTGAGGAGGCCGTGGCAGTGGCCTGAGCCAGCGGGGACATGCCACACCCCCCCCCATCCCATCCCGTGTAGTCTCTGGACAAGACTCGAGTGACTTTTGTCGTTCCTCAAAATCCACTTCACCTTCCAAGAGAATCACTTGCCCAAGAACATTCGAAGATGGAACAGTTGGCACCTGGGACCTCGGGGGCCTCTTAACAAGTCCTAGTCAGGTCCTCTGAGGTTCTGCTCAGGTGCTCTCTGAATGGGCGTAGCGGGCGGGCGCTGAGCTGGGGCCTGGTGCTCAAGGAGCGTTTGATGATGATGGTTGGGGTGGGGGTGGCGATCAGTAGAAGAGGGCAGACGCTAAACCCATGGTTTCACCAGTAGCGTTCTCCCAGGTGAGAAAACTTCCTCCCCTGGTGCAGGTGGGCATCCTGGCTACACCTCGCAGTCTCAGAGAGACACTCAGCACACTGCTGCCCTACCTTTCAGTGATAGTGATAATAGCCAGTAAGTACCTACTCTCCCAAGCACCCTGGCTGGGCCTGGAGCGAGGCTCTCGAACCAACCCTTTATTCTACAGGTGAGGAAACTGAGGCCCACCAAGGGAAGGACCTGCAGGGCCCCCTCAGGGTTGGCAGGGACCACTGGACGGAGTCGGCCTGTCCATACAAAGATCAGCAACGGTCACAGGGGATGACTCTGGTCTGCTTGTTCGAGTGAGATCATCAGGCAGTGTCTGAAGAGAACAGGAGGGAGGGGACAGTCACGCATCCGCCCTGGAGGCCACAGGAATGCCTTTGTCTGCCAGCCTCAGCCTGGGGCTTTCCCTGATTAGTCATGCACTTAGAGCAGGCCCTCAGCCTGCAGATGGAGCCCAGGGTGGGTGCATGCCTGAGCAGCAGCCTCCATCCTCATCCCTTCTGGGCCTTTGAGGCTTCCTTGCTGCTAAGGCCATTTGCTGACCCATTCTACCTGCCCAGGAATTGGTGATCTTGAGTCTGTCACCTGCCAGGGCTTCAGGTTACTGACTCACTCACTGGTAAAGTGAGGCCATTGGGATGCTAGATTTAGAGTTGAAAGGGGTCTCAGAGTCCATTTGACATTTTATGGAAAAGGATACTGCGGCCCAGGGAGGGGAAGGAATATGCCCAGGATTACACAGTAGAGGTGGGGTCTGAACCCAGACCTTGTGACTCCGAAGGCAGTTTTTTCCACTGTACCATCTTGCCTTTTTGACCGCTGGCGTGAGGAAGAGCCCTGGAGCTGGGACTCGAACCCAAATTCTCTGATTCTGGGTCTAGTGCCTGCCACTGGGCTTCAGAGGTAGCCAGAGGCCACGTGGTCGTGCAGACTGGGTCCTTGCCCTTTTATCCTGTGCTCCCCATTCCCAGCTAGGCTGGCCAGTCTTCCTTATCCTGTTTGACTTCCTCGTCTTTTCTCCCTCTCTTCAATTGTTCTCCTTCAGTGAGCGGCTCGGTGGTGACTGCGGAGGAGGATTTGCTGCCAGGTCCCCGGCCCAGCGAGGAGGGGCTCCCAGAGAAGGATGCTGGGGAACTGGCCAAGCAGAGCCGCCTCCAGACAGAGATACTGGAGCTGCAGAAGGAGACACTGCAGCTGCAGAAAGAGAAGATTCTGCTGGAAAAGGAGAAACTGGTCCTGGAGATTGTCAAGCTGAGGCGGGAGCTGGGCACCTGAGCTGCCTGGCCCTGCCTGCCTGCCACCCACAGCCCGAACTCCTGCCCACGCCCAGAGGCCTTCTCCTTCACAGTGCCTATCTGGGCCTGCCCAGGCGAAGCCGCCACCCCCTCCTCCTCTGCTGTCCCTCAGCAGTTACCCCCACTCTGGGGCAAGAGGGTGGGCTCTCTGTGGCCTGCTCCTGGAAAGAAGCCCCAGGAGTCCTGTTTGGGTTGGGCTGGGAAGGGTGTGAGAGGCTCCCAGCCCAGACTTTGCTCCGCAGAGCTCTGCCTGGGCTGTGTGGGGTCAGAAACCTGAAGCAAGAGCTCAGAGCCCCTTAGCAGGTGCCAGGGGGTGGGGATGAGCACATGTGGCCTCGGCTCCCAGCCAGCCCTCTGCCCCAGGTCAGGAGGTCCAGCGTGCAGGACAGGCCTCCACTGGCCATTGGTCAGGTCAACAAGGATCCATTTCTCAGGCCCCCAGCTGTGGGCTAAAGGGACAGGCTCGTGGATCCCTGTGCCAGGAGCCCGGGCCTCCTGGGGCTGCTGTCAGAGAAGTAAAAGCATCCAGGTTTCCTTATCACTGGGTCTGCCTCCCTGACTTTTCTGATTCAGCCTCCCTTATTTATGGGAGGAACACTGGTTAGGCAGCCTTGGCAAGCCCTCTGTGGGGTGCCTAGCTGTCTGTCCACGCAGGAAAATCACCCTTGCCGCCCGCCCAGGAAAGTCTACTAGGCAGGGCTAGAAGGGCCCTGGGAGCCCAAGGCCTTGTAGGACAGAGAAGGAAAGGGAGACTGGAGAGGGGAGAAGCTCGTGTCCCTCGTCGAGCGCCCTTGCTACGACCAGGGCTGGCGCAGGCACTGACCCCCAGCTGACCTTGGTTTTTGTCTCATCTGCCCTCCTGGTCTCTGTGGGATTTGTGAGAACCCTGGAGGGTTAGAGGCAAGAGCTGCTGTGGAGATTGGTCTGTTGTGTGCTGGAAGGCTCTCCAGCGTGGTGTATTGGAGAGAACCCAGAATTGGGGCTGGACGCCCTGCCCACCCCCGCCCCCCGGGCCCTGGGCTTCAGCCTTCTACTCTGCCAGTGAGGGAGGCCGTGCCTTCCAGCTCAGGGCAGCCCAGCCCTGTGCCACCCCAGCCCCAGGGCCTGAGGCCCAGGCTCATCTCTGTTCTTTTGGTGGTGATGGCCAAGGTAGGAGTAATCCAAGGGGCCACCCGGAAGCTGCCCAGGAGATGGAAAAGGAAGCCTGCAGGCAGGAGCGCACCTAGAACCCAGGCAGATGCCTCAGCGGGGCCAAGCTCTGCCTCTCCCCCAGCCTCCAGGGTCTGTAATCTGGCTGAAGGACCCAACTCCAATGGCCTCTGGCCACTAGCAAGAAAGTCTCGTTTCTCTTGGTCAAGGACAGACAGGTGTCCTGCCATGGACACTAACTGGCTGTGAGCCCCCCAGGCCGCCCCCTACCTCTGTCTGCCTGAGCTTCCCGTTTGTGAAATGGGCTTCCTAATAGTGTCTGCCTCCCAGGGGTGCTGCGAGGATCGGGTAATAAGTGGACTTTAAAGTGCATTAGCTGTTAAACCCACTCAGGCCTGCCGCCACCCCCCACCCCATCCTTCCCAACAGAATCCTTTCACAGGCCGACAGTTCACCCTAAGTGTTAGGAGCTGATAATGGCTCTGTAAATACCTTCCTGAGGCCGCTGCCCAGGCCTGGCCCTGTCTGCTGGGGTGATGCCCTTCCCTTCTTTATTCCTGGGCATCTCCATCTGTAAAACTAGGAGGGGAGGGGAGTTAGAGCAAACCCCCTGCTGAAGTCTGACTTTTGTTCTAAGGCCCTCCCAGCCCTGACATTCCCTGTTCTGAGGCCCCTCCCAGCTCTGACATTCCCTGTTCTAGATCTCCTCCCAGCTCTGACATTCCCTGTTCTGAGGCCCCTCCCAGCTCTGACATTCCCTGTTCTAGATCTCCTCCCAGCTCTGACATTCCCTGTTCTAAGGCCCCTCCCAGCTCTGACATTCCCTGTTCTGAGGCCCCTCCCAGCTCTGACATTCCCTGTTCTAGATCTCCTCCCAGCTCTGACATTCCCTGTTCTGAGGCCCCTCCCATCTCTGACATTCCCTGTTCTGAGGCCCCTCCCAGCTCTGACATTCCCTGTTCTGAGGCCCCTCCCAGCTCTGACATTCCCTGTTCTAGATCTCCTCCCAGCTCTGACATTCCCTGTTCTGAGGCCCCTCCCAGCTCTGACATTCCCTGTTCTAGATCTCCTCCCAGCTCTGACATTCCCTGTTCTAGATCTCCTCCCAGCTCTGACATTCCCTGTTCTGAGGCCCCTCCTAGCTCTGACATTCCCTGTTCTAGAGCCCCTCCCAGCTGTGACATCCCTTGTTCTGAGGCCCCTGCCAGTTCTGACATTCCCTGTTCTGAGGCCCCTCCCAGCTCTGACATTCCCTGTTCTAGATCTCCTCCCAGCTCTGACATTCCCTGTTCTGAGGCCCCTCCTAGCTCTGACATTCCCTGTTCTAGATCTCCTCCCAGCTCTGACATCCCCTGTTCTGAGGCCCCTCCCATCTCTGACATTCCCTGTTCTAGATCTCCTCCCAGCTCTGACATTCCCTGTTCTGAGGCCCCTCCCATCTCTGACATTCCCTGTTCTAGATCTCCTCCCAGCCCTGACATCCCCTGTTCTGAGGCCCCTCCTAGCTCTGACATTCCCTGTTCTAGAGCCCCTCCCAGCTGTGACATCCCTTGTTCTGAGGCCCCTCCCAGCTCTGACATTCCCTGTTCTAGTGCGAATGCCCTTCATAAATTGCAGGCATTTAACACCCACACGTGCCTGACACAAGCTTTTCCTGGTTCTGTGGAACAAGGCCTCCCTCAGAAGGAAAGCTGGGTTGGGGTGGGGGCTGTTCTTCAGCCTGGCCTCTCCTCGAGCTCTGTCCTGAGGTGACATTCCCAGGCTGTAATCCTGCTGTGATGGGAGGTAATGCAGAGTCCGAGCTGGAATCCTAACCTCAAGGGCGCTAGGTGATCTTGAGAAGGGGCCCTCAGCTTAAACCTGAGGGAATCCTCAGCTAATAGACAAGCAGCAAATGTTTAATATGCATCTACTGTGTGCCAGGCACTGGGGCTCCAGAAGCAGCTTTAGAGAGCTGACGTTCTGGGGAGGGGGAAGGCGGGAGAAGACAATGTGTGCACATGGACCTGCGATTGAGCTCCCAGGTGAGGAAAGCCCCTCCAGCAGTGCAGGCCTTGGCCCAGGATCACCCAGCTGGTATGAGGGGCAGGGGCTGCCCGCTCTCATGGGACTTGCAGTGGCTTTGGCTTCCAGGCTGGCTGCCCATCACCACCTCGTGTTGCCTGTCTGTGCACGCATGAGTCCACAAGACGGAGCATCTGTATCACAAGGTCATTTCGGAGGGGGAGGAGGGGAGGAGGCACTCGCACCTGGGGCCAGGGGCTGCCTCACACAGGAGGGGTGGTGGAGAGCTGAGCCAAAGGGAGTGGATGATTGGAATGGATGGAGGGAGGCAGCAGAAGTCTGTGGAGGACGAGTGGGTCAGAGACCATCAATTCAGTGCCCCCATTTTGTAGATGACAAAACTGAGGTTTGGGGAAGCTTAAGTGGCATAAGGAAATAGACTCACACACACACACGTGCCTTGTAAGTGGCTGAGCTGGGCTCTGAGCTCAGGACCTTAGACCCCAAATCCCGCTGCTCCCCCACCCCATAATCTCTTAAGGGACTGGAGGAGCAGAGGAAGCCAGTGACCTCTAACATGCCAAGGAGTACAAGATGGCCTCCGTGTAAGGGCCCTCCCAGCTCTCAGTCCTCGATGATCTCCCCTCCAGGCTGGGCTGTTTCCTTTCCTTAGGCTGGCATTCAAGGCTCCCCCAGCACCCGGCTGCTCCAGGCTGGCTTTCTGGCTAGTCTCATGCCTACCACACTCAGCCCGAGGAGCCTCTTCCAAGACTCCTGTTCCATCTTGCCCACTCCCCCCGCCCCTGCCCGGCGGGCCTTCCTCTCTTGCATTTGTCCACGGTGAAGTCTTCCCTCTCAGGGGCCGACTGTGTTACCATGAGGCCTTTGGGGATTCCTCTAACTGGAAGCCAGTTTTCCTTCTCTAAGTACTACCTAGGGGCAGGCTTTATAATCCCCAAATCCCTTTCCTCCCTGCGGAGTGAGGAAGCGTCATTGGCTAGGCAGTCTGACTAGTGCCTCTAACTCTTCATGACCCTATTTGTCCATGGGGTTTTCTTGGCAAAGATACTGGAGTGGTTTGCCATTTCCTTGCCTCGTGTCTCCATGTTACAGATGGGGAACTGAGCCAAATAAGGTTAAGTGACCTGCCCAGGGTCACAGCTAGTAAGTGTCTGAGGCTGGATTTGAACTCAGATCTTCCTGGCTCCAGGCCCTGTATTCTAGCCACTGCACCACCAAGCTGCCTGCTGAACCTTGGTGAGTCACTGGCATTTGGCCTCCCTGAGGTCCCCTCCCAGCTCCAAATCCATCATTCTAGGGCAAGGATTGTTCCCAGCTTAGAGAGGAGGAAACTGAGGTTCCCAAGGGCTCGTGTCAGAACCAGGTTTGAGACTAGTTCTTCGGACTGAGGCTCTTTTCCTTTTGCATTTTAGAGGCTAGCCTTCATTCCACCCCACAGACCATGCAGAAGGGACAGGAGGGCTTGCTGGAGCCCGTGAGTAGGTACCAAACGACTCACCCTGTGTCCCCCTTGGAAGGAACTGGATGAGGGCGTGGGGGGGGAATCAGGGCAGCCCCTTGACACTCTGGTGAGACTGCTTTTTGGTCCTTCCCAAGGACCTTGTGCCTTTATTACCCCGAGACATCAAAAGCTGATCCCCCTTCCTGGCTTTCCCCCCTAGACCATGCTTCCCCCCAACATTTCCCTTTGTGTTTTTCCTGAAGTTCTCATTGGCGTGGATTGCATTGTTCACGCAGACATGCTGCATCTCCCTGGAGTCTCCTCTAAAGAGAGGGCCTGGGTTTATTTCACCTCCCGATCTTCAGGCTTAGCACAGAAGTGGGCACACAGTAGGTGTGTCCTGGCAAGTGTCTGTAGATTGGAAATGCGTCAGCGTGGGCTTGTGCCGTCTCTTGTCAGGGATGGTAGGATCAGAGATCAAAAGCTCGCAGGGACCTTGGAGGCCTAGTCTGACCTTATTTTACAGACGGAGAGACTCAGGGCAGGGGAGTGTATGTGCCTGGAGTCACACAGGTGAGTAAGGAAGAGCTAGGGTTAGAACACAGGTCCTCCGACTCCAGAGCCAGCTATGTGGGTCAACAGACATTTATTAAGCACCTACTGCGTGCCAGGGGGCAGCTAGGTGGGGCAGTGCATAGGCTGCCAGGCCTGGAGTCAGGAAGACCCAATTTAAAATCTGGCCATAAGACACTTCCTAGCTGTGTGAACTTGGGCAAGTCACTCACTGCCTCAGTTGCCTCATCTGTAAAATGAGCTGGAGAAGGAAATGGCAAACCACTCTAGTATCCTTCCCAAGAAGACCCCAAATGGGGTCACAGAGTCAGATATGACTGGAAAGGACCAAACAGCTCCATGCCGGGGACACAAGCAGTAGGATTCCTTCTGTTGAACCCCACTTGTCCCTTGGGGTGTGCACAGTACACAGTCCAGGAGGGAGCCCCTGACCTGACCCTGCTGGGGCCATTTCCCATGATTCTGGCTCATAACCCCCACCCAGGAGCCCTAGCAAGGTTAGGAGCCCCCTCCATGAGCGTGCCTGAGGTCCTTCTGCTCAATCAAGCTCCCTCCACGAGGTCCCACGTTCCCAGGGTTACACAGGCAAGTCTGAAGCCAGAGTCTCAGAGGGAGAAGGGACCTCGGTCTGCCTGGCACCAAGGAGGATCATGGGAGCAAATGGCCCCATGATGAGGCTGAGCAAGGACCCTCCCACTGTGTACATGAGAAGTGAAGGCGGAACTCGCCACTTGGAGACAGTGTATTCATTGTAGCCAGTCTAGACCGGCCTTGGCAAGTGTTTCCTGCGGAGCTCCTGCTGATGTCCTCTGGAGGCCTCTGGAACACCGCTAGCCAACTGAGGATGCCCTCATGTCCCCCACACCTTCCCCTGCTTAAACGTGCCCTCTCCACTGGAGGGTCCTCCCAGCCATTCCCTGAGCTGCTTGGCCCCTTCCCAGGAGCTCTAGAACTGAACCCGAAGCTCCGCCCTGGCCCCCCTCTTGTCTCCCCTCCCCACTGCAAGGTTCAGCCCTCTCCTCAGCTCCCTCCCGTACCTGCTGTCACTGCTCTGCTCTGCTGCACTCCTTCTGGGGCCAGAGAAGGCCAAAACCAGCCACCAAGGCTGAGCTTTCTCACACCTTGGTCAAGAGAAATCTATGGCACTGGCCCAGATCAGCCTGCCTCCCCAGGGCATGACATTCAAGGCCCCATTTATTGCCTTATTTCTATAGCACTTAAATCCAAGGGCACTTTTCCTCAGAAAAGTCTGTCAAATCAATTGGTCAATAAGCATTTATTAAGCACCTACTATATGCCAGGCACTGTGCTAAGTACCGAGCATACAAAGACAACCGTGAGCTATCCTGCTCTCAGGGAGCTTACATTCTATCGGGGAAGAGGGTGTACCCTTGGCTAGAGTTGAGGAAGCGCCTCAGAGAGGTTAAGTGATTCATCTTGGCATCAAGACAAAGTGGACACAAGAGAGATCAGGGCAGGGATTCCAAACCACTGCCTTGGGTGCCTCTACTTCTCTACCTGCACCCAGACTAGTCAAGCTCCTGTGTGAGCTCCCACTGTTCCTGCTGGGCCCATCCCCAATGCCCCTTTGCTTCTCGTGACCTTGAGCCATGTCTCGGCCCAGTTGGGAGCCTCAGTTTATCCTGCTGTAAAATGGGAGGGTGGACTGAGTGACTGTAAGCTCAAAGACCCTCCAGCTTTGACCCCCATCACCCCTTCGCTAGCCCTGACACTCTGGTCCTGCCTTCGCCAATTCTTGGCTGTGCTTACCTGGGCCCTGCTTGATCTCTTCCCAGGGATTCTGAAGGGAGGCCACAGGTCTGGTAAGAATGGTCACCCTGAGAACTGACCCCTGGGACACACTGCCAGCCTCCAGACCCCCTTTTACATCTCATGCAGACAAAATGGGCATTGACACCAGTTTCCGGTTTATTCTGTCATCCGGGTGTGGTTGGAAAACCTGGGTGAGCCTCAGGAAGTGGATTCGGGGTTGAAGGTCCAGGCCCCATTGTAGAGGCCCGTCCTGCTCAGGCTGGGGACCCGATCTGCTTCCCTCTCCTCCCCCCACCACACACAGACCTTGGTCCCATGACATGTGGCTTGACCTGGCCCCCACCAACCCAGAGTGATGAGGACTCCCACAGGCCCAGGGTAAGGGCACCGATGGCTTTGGGGACTGTCCAGTGAGGCTGGACCCCCAGAGGCAGCTTTGGTGTGTGGAGTGGTGAGGTGGGGGCTGGGATCTCTCGCTCTCTGTCTCCTGAGTAAGGCCCAGGAAAAGAGAAGGATTTGGTCCTGGGGAGTGTCCCCAACTGCCACCAGGCGCAGAAACTCAGGTGGGGGTTCCCTGTCTCCCTGGGGGAAACCCCTGCCTCCTCCCCAGGGAGGCCTGTAGCTTAAAAGGCACGGGGTTATTGGTGGTTGTGATAAATGGGGGTAGAGCCGGCAGTGGACACGTACACTAGACAGACACAAGGATGCACACAAAACATAGAACACAGAACACAGACACGACATAGAAAACACAGGACAAGATCTGTTTGGCACAAATCACACTGGAATCATGAGAGCCTGGGGGTGGGGGCATGACCCCCCTCTCCCCCTGATGTCTCAGAAGAAAGATGGGGCACGAGGAGGGAAGGAGAGGCAGGGCAGAGGCCGAAGGTTTGGTGCATAAAGGCCGGCCAGCCAAGCCTCTGCTCTACTCACAGTGGGGAGGGGGACAGGGGAGACCCCTTCCTTGGGAAGCCCGGGCTCACAGCCCCCCGTCCACCATGGGCCCTGGCCGCCCAGGAGCAGGGACGGGGCTCTCGGGAATAGGCTGGGTGTGGGCCTTGGACCCAGCCCCAACACAGCTCCGGCCTCTCGTCTGCCCCAGCCCTGTCTCCTGGGCCTCGGGGCTGGCCAGCAGCAGCCCCCGCTTCAGTCTGTCTTCCACACTTTGTTGAGAAGTTTCACGACTTCGTCATAGATGATGAAGACAATGGCCACATCCAAACAGACACGGCCCAGGCGGGGCACAGTGCCCTTGTAGAAGCTGGAGGCCAGAAAATAAAAGAATGAATGAATGAATGAATGAATGAATAAAAGTGGGGGGCCCTCCCTCCCAGCCTTGGGGTCCCCCTCCGCTCTCCTGCAGAGGGCACAGCCTCGGGGGTCCCCAACTTACGCCTTGAGCCCCTCATGCTTCATGATCTGGTAGCCACAGTCCAATGTGCTCTTGTACTTATGAGCCTCCAAGCCCTGAGATGGGGAAAAAGGAGAAAACGGAGGCCTTAGAGACTTGTCCAGGCCAGGACTCCCTACCCTGCATTTTGTGATCATTGTACTTTTGTGTTTCATATACTCTGGAATCCTCTGTATTTTCCTTTATGCATTTATCTTTTTCTTTTTTTGGGGAGGCAATCGGGGTTAAGTGACTTGCCTAGGGTCACACAGCTAGTACGTTTCTGAGGCTGGATTTGAACTCAGGGCCTCCTGACTCCAGGGCCAGTGCTCTATCCACTGCACCACTAGCTGCCCCATTCCATGCATTTAAAAGCAGTAGTCTCAGAATACTGCAACTTAGCCCCGTGTCTGGCCTAGAGGAGGTGTTGTCTGAGAAGGCTTTGCCAGACAGCCGGAGGGGTCCATGACACCCACAAAGGCTCTTCCACAGGAGGAAAGTGAAGCCCAGAGAGATCACAGGACCAATGGGGAGAGAGCTGGAAGGGACCTCAGCCACCTAGGCTACGCCTCCGAGATTAAGAAGAGCAAACAAGGCATCTCCCCAGTAACTGGCTGGCCTCCCTGCCTCCTTCTCTGGGTGGTGCCTCGCCTTTATAATCCTGACCTTCTACATGGCTTCCATGGCCAATCTCCTCACTCTTCTGCTCCAAAAATTGTAGTGGGTCCTCACTGCCTCAACAATAAATTATCAGCTCCTGACTTGGCATTCCAGGCCCCCCAAAACAGGGTCAGCCCACTCTTACTCTCCTCATTCTTGCCCAAATTGGCTCCCACAGCTGCCATTGCTGGAATCCACCCTGCCCCGGGCCCTGGTGTGTGAAGGAAGAGTCAACATGCGATCTATTCAGAGCTGGTAGGGAGATCTTTTAGTCCCGTTTTACAGATGGGGGAAGTAAGGCTCATAGAGGGAAACGTCACACAGCACTCAGTAGCTGAAACAGGACTTATCTGTAGGGCCCTGAATCTAATCTGGGGAGCTCTGCCTTTACCTGCATCCGGGTCTTAATCACATCCAGCGGTGTGTTTCCAAAGACGCTGGCAGCCCCAGCAATGGCTCCGAACACCCCGGTCACCACGGGGTTCATGGGCTTGTTGGGGGTCGTCCCCTGTGGAGGACAAGAGGCCCCAGGTGAGCCCAGGAGAGGGACAGGCCTCCAGCTGGGAGCAAGGTCGGGGTCCTTACCTCGGTACCAGTTGCGGAGGGAGGTCATGACAAAGAATCGGATGGCCTGGTTGGAGCCCTGTTTCAGCACGGTGGCAGTGAGGCCCTGGTAGGTGCCCTTCAAACCTGGTGGCAGCCAAGCAAAGATCACCCACTGGACACCCCTCTCCTCTCCCTGCAGCTTCCCCGGGCCTGCACGAGCAGGTGAAGCCCCCGCCACTGACCTCACTCCTGGCAGAGCCTGCCCCCGCCCTCCCTGGGACCTCAGTATGGCTGCAGCCCATCCTCCACAGCTGGAATATTCTCCCCCTTTTACCCACACCTCCAGGAAGCTGACCCCGATTCCCTCTGTTAACAACCCCCCACCCCCACCCTTGCTCCTGGCCTCTCCTAGTAACACCACGCAGTGCTCTTCACTGGCAAAGTCTTAATCTGCTAAATGTTACCACGGTCTAGAGTTCTGGCCCTGGAGTCAGGAGGACCTGAGTTCAAATCCAGCCCCAGACACTTAACACTAGCTGGGTAACCCTGGGCAAGTCACTTAACCCCGACTGCCTCACCAAAAAGGAAAAAAAAAGTTACCCTGGTCCCCATCAAACTGCACACGGCAGAGCTGCCCAGATGATACCTGGCCCTGGAATTGTCCAGGAGCCATCACTAACCTTGTTCTCGGACGATCTCCCTCACACCGTGGAAAAAACCACGATACCTGGGATTGGCAGAACATTGGTCATGGATAAATTTCACCTGCAAAGAAGGAGAAAGGGACACGTTTTGGGGGCTGTTGGGGAGATGTCAAACTGAGGCTAGGAGTGTTTATACCCACCTCCCCTCCCCCCACACATGCCCAGCAGTGCCAAGGGAAAGAGCGGCGGAGGAGCAAACCAGGCCCTGCCCTGGGGGACAGAAGATGAGACAAAGGGAGAGGTGAAAGGTCAGCCTGGGGTAGGCAAGGTGACCCTGGGCTGTGAGGGTGTGTGTGTGTGTGTGTGTGTGTGTGTGTGTGTGTGTGTGTGTGTGTGTGTGTGTGTGTGTGTGTGTGTGTGTGTGTGTCACAGAGAGAGAGAGAGAGACAGAGATGAGAGACCAGGAGAAAGACAACCCAGAGGTCAGGAGAGGCCTTGGTTTGAAGCCCTGCCTGGACCCTGGCCGTCTGACTAGGAGCTCCTCCAGGACAGAGTGGGCCTGGGGTTCCTTCTCCAAAAAGCTGCTTGGACTCCCTCAGTCCCAGGGGGTTTGCCTCCTAAAATGATCCAGGAAAGGCTTTAGCACAAGAGGTAAAGCTTTAATGGTGGAATCTCAGGTCCCTGGCAGGTGTGGGCCCCACCTTGATGGTCTCCATGGGGCACACGACCACCACAGCCTCAGCCACGCCGGCCCCCAGCCCGCAAAGCAGCCCTCGAGTACTGTCCAGCCGGCCCTGGGCGTCCCGCATGTGGTTACTGAGAAATTCGAACATCCCAAACCTGGGGGTAGGGGGAGTTAGGAATTAGAGTGCCTCGGGCCAGGACTGGGCTCCCACATCCCCAGCCAGCCACCCCTGCCACCAGCGATGCCAGCTGCCATTTGTATAGTGCCTGAAGGTTTACAAAGAACTTACTTCGTGTTAGTGTGGGAAGGAAGCTGGAACCCCCATTTAACAGATAAAGAAACTGAGGCTGAGAAAATGTGTGGGTGCCCTAGGTCATTAGACAGCCACTGAGGCTGAGTGTTTGACTCTAGTCCTGGGCCCAGGTCCAGAAGGGGAATAGGTAGAAAGAAAACATACTTGGCTTGGGTTTCCAACTCTAGCCCGTTCTGGCTGGGTGACCGCTAGGTAAGCCACCTCCTCTCTGCACCTCAGCTCCCACATCTGCAAAATGGGCTAATAAGCATGTATACTCCTGCCTCCTAGGGTCACGGTGGGGAAAACCCTGGGCAAAACTCAGAGTAGTGGTCTTAGCATCTCCCTGTCCCCCAGCCGCAGGCTCACCTGACTGCTGCCTTGGGAATGGAGCCATAGAGGAGAGAGCTGAGGCCACGGTAGAGGCCCAGGACTCCGTGGCTGCGAACAGTCTGCTTCACACAATCCCCTGGGGAGGAAGGTGCAGAAGGTGGACCAGCTGTGTCCTTAGGCTGCCAGCCTCTGCATAATGGGGACACCTCCACCCCCCTCCATGTGGAGAAAATAAAATGCCCAGAGTTCAGCTCCTGGGACCCTCATCCACCCTCAGCCTTTGGTGATCTAGCTTCCTGTCCTCCCCTACACTCCTGGTCCTGAGCCCTGGCCCTCCATGACAGGTCCCCATGCCCTAGGGCTGCGGGAAGCCTCAGAGGCCATCCGACCCAACCCCCTCATTTTACAGGTGAGGAAACTGAGGTTCCTTCTCCCCTCTCTCTAACCTCCAGATAGCTACCAAATATCACCCTGCTGCTCAGGGGGCATCAATGGCTCTCTGTTGCCCCTACAAGCAAACAGGCTCCTCTGTCGAAGTGCTTCCCAGCCTGGCTCTACCCTCCAACGCTGTCCCTGTGCCCCAGGGGTGAGTGACCCCCCACCCCCAGACTTTGCACAAACTCCCCCACCCAACAGACTGGGAGCGCCCCGAAGACAAGGACCATCTCAGTCTCCCTTTTCATCCCTAGTGCCTAGCACAGTGCCCGCCACCCCCTACGCCTCCAAGCCTGGGCCCCTCCTCTCGTGGCTTTGTCTCCGCTTTCCTATCTCCTTAGAACATACCCCTACTCCGCCCCCCTCAGCAGCAGCCACTCTGGGCCCCTCGTCTCTCCCCTCACCCACTCTCCTTGTTTCTGGCTAATCTGGCTCCCTGCCATCTCATCTCAAAGGTCCTTCCCTTTTTCAAGATCCTTGTATCACTGCTCTCTACCTCTTAGCTCCCCAGGGCTATCCCTGATTTTCTAGAACTCAGTTCCCTGACCAGATGCCCCCTCACACCCCAGAGCCCAGCTCCCTACGCTGGTACCCTCCTCATGCCCAGCTCCCTGCCCAGGTGCCCTCACCGATGCCCCGATAGCGAGGGGGATTGGCTTTCTCATCCAGCTGCAACTGAGTCTTCACATATTCAGTGGGGAAGGTAATGCAGATCTCGATGCCTCCGGCCAAGCCTCCTGGGATGGGGGAACGCAGGGGTTTGAGGGAGGCCCAGGGCAGGGCTGCAGCTCTGCTCTGGCAAGGACCAGTTCGTCCCAGGCTGTGCCACTCCAAGCTGGTGAGGGGGGCGGGGCTCAGCCACGAACAGCAGGCTTCTGGCGGCTCAGGGGAGGGGTCAAAGGAAAGACCTTTGGATTTGGAATCCCAGGACCAGGTTTCAATCCACATTCAGATCCTTAAGGGACTCAGAGGAAGCCCCTTCCCCCACTTGGTGGGGGTGAGGCTGGATGAGGCCTCTGAAGTTGCCTGACAGACCAGACCAGCCAGGCCAAGCCAGCAGTGACTCCCTCTACCTACCTTTCCAACAAAAGGGCCTCCTATCAGCTCTCAAGGTAACCCCATTCAAACTTCCTCCCCTCTCAAGCTTGGTGGTAGCATTGGGCAGAGTGTGCCTGGAGCTTAGGCCCTGATCCCTGGGGACACAGCCCCTCCTACTGGGAATCTTCCAAGCCCCTCCCCCAACCCGACTGGGGAGACATGACTCAGCAAAGGGGTGGCTAGACCTGGCCCAGAGCCACCCGACGGATCCTGACTTCAGTGCCAGAAAGTTCAAAGATCCAACCCTCTCATTCTACAGAGGGGGAAACTGAGGCCCAGACGAGGCAAGGGACTGGCCCAAGGCCCAGCAGGCAGAAAGAGACAGAGCTCGGATTAAAAGCCAGAACTCTTTAACTACTCCACACCTGACCGGTCTCTGGGCCTCACTGAGAGCCCCTCCCCACTCCTTAAATCCATGACTTTGGACTCCGCAATTCTGCTCTGCTTAGCAGCAGGGCTGACATACTGGGGAGGAGGGGTGGTCTCTGGAACCTGGAGTTCACTTCCAGACTGGACTGCCTCAGTTTCCCCCTCACCTGGGGCCTGGCCCGGATCCAATTCTCTTGGAGAGAGGGGAAAGGAGGGAACACATTAGCCAGGACTCTTCCCGCTAAGTGCCTGAGCATGGACCACGTTGGGGCAGACCAGAGGCCCCAGCATGCCTCCTTTAGAAGGAACCCAAGGGCCCAGGTTCCAAGTCAAGCTCCTCCCTCCCTCCCCACTATGCTTCTAGAATTTCAGTAAGGAAGAGGTTAGGGATGAATGAAGGTACCTAACAGATAACCATCCAATTAGTCACATGATCTCTAGGGCTCAGATCTCCAAGGCCACTCTCTTCATTTTACACATAAGGAAACTGAGGCTTGGGGAGAGGAAAGAGCTGGACCAAGGCTTACACTGGTAGTAAGGATGATTCAGAAATGGGATTTGTAGCCAGGTACTCTGACTCTCCAGCTAAGATTTTTTCCCCTGGACCTGGCTGCTCCTCCTCATTCTACAGGTCCAGCCCCTTCGTTTTACAGGGAGGGAAACTGAGGCCTGGAGAGGGCAAGTCCGTTACTCTAGGAATAAGTGGCAGGCCCAGGATTGGAAATGAAAGCTTGTGGACCTCCCACCCCTTGCACCAGAACCCGGAGAGGGACAGGACACCCCCACCTAACCCGAGAAGCAAACAAAGCCCCATCCCTGTGCAATCCTACAGACGCTCCCTCACCCTGGAGAGGCCAGTGTCCCCCAGGACGAGGTAAGACAGGGCAGGAGCTGAGGGGAGCCCCGGAGGAAGGAGGCGAGCGTGCAGGGGTGCGTGGAGGGAGGCACTGGCTCCTTCCCTATGCAATCCTACGGACCCCCCCCCGGGGAGGCCAGTGTCCCCCATGTCCAGGCAAGTCGAGGGCCAAAGGGAGTCGGGGGAAAGGAATTCAGCCCCTTCCCCATGCAATCCTACAGACCCTCCTCCACCCCGGGGAAGCCAGGGTCCCCTAGGAAGAGGTAAGGCAGGGCAGGAGCCGAGGGGAGCCCCGGGGGAAGGAGGCCCCCACCTCATTGGGGAGGAGGGTTGGAGGGACAGGAGAACTTCCGGGGGGGGGGAGAACCCCTTCCTCTGGGCCCCAGCTCCGCCCCCCGGGGTAGAAGGGGCGACGAGTCCCCAGGCCCGGAAGCGGCCGGCGGCAGGGGGCTGGTGGCGATGGCGGCGGCGTGCTCACCTGCCAGGATGGCCTTCCCGGGGTGCGTGAGCTTGGCTTTGCCGGCTGGGGCGGCGGCGGCCAGTGAGCGGCCGGGGGCCATAGTCATGATCACGGAGGGAGGTCCGGGCTGCGGTCGCCCTCACTCCGAGCTGACTCTTGGCTCGGCGTTCTGTGCTCTCGGGGCCCGCGGTAGGCGGACAGGCCGACTGGACCGACTAGGGGCGGTGGCAGCGGCGGGTTCGGGGGGGCGGGGGGGCGGGGTCTCAGCGTCAGGGCCTCGCTCCACCTCCTCCCGCCCCCGCCTGAGGTCGGACGGCTCCAGCTCCGCCCCGCCGCCTGACCCAGGCTCCTCCCTGTCCCGCCCTCCGGGGCCCGGGTCCGAGGCCCGCCCCCACGCCTGGCCACTCCTCCCCCAGCCGCGGTCCCCTAAGCCCGTGGGCCCTGGCTGATTGTGGGCCAGGAGGATGCTGCTGCTGGGGCCTGGCGCTGTTTGGTTCCCATTTTCTGCTGTTAGCTAAGCCCCCATTTCTCCCCGCCCCCCAGGCTGAGGGCAGCCCCCCACGGCCCCCACTTCTGTCTGCGTGCCTCCCCGGGCTGTCACGTCCCCAGGAGGAGACAAAAGATCAAGGTGTCAGGGCTGGGTCTGCCACGTAGTAGAATCTGTGTAACTCAGACAAGTCCGTTTCCCTCCGTGGGCCTCAGTTCCCCCCCCGCCCCCCCCCCGTCTAATCTGGACCTTGACTGCGTAATCATAAAGTTCTTTCCATTCTCAGTCTTTTCCAGTTCTGATAGTCTCTGTTCTAAGCCCCCTCTGAGCTCTGACATTCCATACTCTGTTATAAGGGCCTTTTCTTCCGACCTGGGGTCTCCAGGGGGGGCTGAATTGGAACTTAGGTTGGGCTTGGATGACCATGGAAGGTAAGAAGTCAGGCGACAGTGTGTGTGTGTGTGTGTGTGTGTGTGTTGTGATGATCTAGGCACATAGGGGTGATCCCTTTTCTAGACTCGCTGTCAGGCCATTTTCTGGACTTTTTCCATCCTCTCATCAGTCTCTGACCTCCTTCCCCATCCCCGTGACTCATCGTTCCAGGCCTTTGCTAGGCTCCATTCCAAAGACTTTCACCTTTCTTTCGCTCAGCACCCCCCAGCCCTCTCCCCTCAACAGGCTCCTCCTTTCTGCCCAGATCCCTCCACTGCCAGTCCTCTGGCTGTCATCTTCCTCTGCCTCCCTCCCTCCAGCTGGAGCTCTGCTGTGTTCTCACTAACGCCTCCCTTCTGTGTCCCAGAATCCCTGAGGTCCCTGAGACATGGGAGGAACATCCCAAGTCCTTATAATGTAACTGAACAAGAATTCCCAAGGATTTCCCCCACACCTGACAAACAAGGGACTTCCTACCTCCTCACTCCCCTTTGGGATGGCACCCATTCAGGGCTTCCTTATCCCGGCTCCACATCTCCCTCTGCATCTTCCACCCAGTCTCGGCCCCCACCTTCGAGGGCCAAGCTGTCTTCCAGGTGACTGCCTTTTAACTGCTTGAAGAGAACTATAAGGTTCCCCCTAAGCACCTTTTCTTCCCTTCTTTTTTTAAAGCCCGGCTCTCCCCATCTTGCCCAGGCTGAATGTGTAGGACTTCTTCCAGCCCCTGATCCCACTCTGCTCGACATGGGAGATGCTGCATCTCTGGGTGGATCCACCTCGGTGGATCAGAACCCTCCTTAGGCAAGCTGGGGGCCTCCTGCTCCCAGGGGCTCATCATGCCATAATATCCAACGTAGTGAGGCTGCGATCAGCATGGCCCACCGTAACCCAGACCTCTGAGCTCCAGATATGCAGCTCCCCAGGGAGCATGGAACCCCCACACCTCCCAGCTCCCCACACAGCCTGCTCCCCAGCTGGACCTCTTGGCTTCCAGCCTGATCATCTTCCCTTGGCCTCACACATCCCCAGCATCACTAGTCTCTCTGCCCTCCAATCCACTGCTTGCATAGCTGCTGAAGTCCAGGTCTGACCTTGTCAGCTGAGGTCAAGGAACTGCAGGGGCTTCCTATTATCCCGAGGATCACATACAAACTCTTCTCGTTAGCATTTCCAGCTTTTCACAATCCTGCAGCAGAAGGTCCATGCACCCTCAGTTCCAGCCCTGCGGGCTGTCGCCTATGACTGGAATGCTCTCCTTCCTCTCCTCTGAGAACCCTCAGCCTCTTCAAATTCCGGTTAGATGCCACCTCCCATCGAGGCCTACCTGGATCTAGCATCTGGGGGCCCTGGCTCCGATGGTTACATTGTTTCTACTTAGGATGTACATTGTATTCACACCCAGTGTAGAGGTACTTGTTCCTCTCCAAAGACCCAAGTCAACTCTCTGAGGACGGGAGGCTGTTTTCTGTCTGTGTCCCCACCCACTGCTTCTCACAGGGGCTGCTGGGATTGAAGTCCTCTTTTGTCTTTTCCAGACCATGTGACTCCTTTTGAGCCCACCCAGTGCCCAGGGAGGGGCAGCCATCTGGAGAGAGGAGGGGAGGGCACCTGGGACTTGGGGTTAGGAAGAACGGAGTCTGAATTGTGCCCCACACACTTAGAAGCTATGTGACCATAGTTAAGGTACTTCCCCTCTCAGTTTCTTGATCTATAAAATGGGGGTAACGATAGCACCTACTTCACCTGGTGTTGTAAAGATCAAAGGAGATAATATATGTGAAGTGTTGTAGACATGCTAAAGTCCAGTGGTTGGTTTGAGCAAATCTAGAGCAGTCACACCCATGGAGGAGGGAATGAATATTCCTTGTGGGCTGAGCCCTAAACCTTGAGTTGAAGCTGGCCTGAGGTCCTACCTCCCTGCTGTATCTAAGGAGATTTCTATGGTCTGAAAAACTGGGGTCCAATTCTCCTGCCAAGGGGCCTGCTTCGTGGCTCTGTGTGTGTAGTGTGTGTGCGTGTGTGTGTAACTGTAAGAGATCACTGTATTTCCACACCAACTCAGACCTGTCAGGGCCCACCCAGCCCCTCTAGACTCCTCCCAGTACAAGTCAATTCAATCCACCTTTCAAGATTATAGAATCTAGGGTTTGAAGCAGGCCTAACACCCTCATTTTGTTTTGTTTTTACTGTCAAGAAAACCAAGGTTCAGAGTTGTCATAGAGGAATCACTTGCCAAAAACCAGTAGATCAGATGAGATCAGAAGTTATCAGAGGCCAAGTCTTGAATCTGGTGGCTGGGAGGGAGGGCACCCAGAGCTGTGCCCTAAAGCCTCAAGAGCCACCGTTAAGAGTTTGGCCGGATTCCCTAATGAGGGCACATCAAATTTACCAGAGTTAAAGTCTGGCTCATGGTGCGGCATACTCACCAGAAAAGCTGTGTGACTTTGGGTGAGTAACCTGCCCTCTCTGAAGCTCAGTGTTCTAACTTGTAAAATGAGTCATGGGCTATCAGTCCCCTTTCCCCATGATCTCTTATGGGGGCAAAGGCAGGAAGGGGTACTTTTAGCTCCCCCCCAACTACCTCCTGAAGCAGGCTTTGTAGCCCACAGGGGTGCCAGGGATCCCTCGGTCCAACCCCCTCATCTGGCAGGTGGAGGAGGATAAGGGTCCCTCAGTCATCAAGTGTGTAGGAAGTATTCGGGAGGGCGCCACGCCTGGCACTGAGCTGAGACTGCTCACCCTTCAGGCTGCTGGATGCTCACACCAGGGAGGACTGCGCCAAGCTGGGCTGGGGCCTTTGTGGCTGCTCCCGCCCCCATCCCTTCTCCTATTGGCTCACTCTACCCAGACAAAGGTCAGATGGGCTGTCCTTTTATGCAAGAGGTGGAACAATCTTTTCCTAAGGGCAAGTGGGGCCTGATCTTGGCCAGGCTTTTGGTGTTTGTATGGGATTCAAAGGAGCTGAAAGGAACTGAATGTTCCGTTTTCTGAGGCTCCCAGGTAGTAAGTAGCTACAGGCCGCATTTGAACACAGCACACAGCACTCTCTCCCTGAGGTTATGCTTCCCACATGCAAGGGGCTGGGGGCTTCTCCCAGAGGCCACAAAAAGGAACCCTGGAGGAGTCAGATGGGGTCGGTGTGTTCCCACAGTCCGCAGGGGCACGAGCTCATGCCAGGCAGGTGGGCCCAGCCGGCAGACTCCCAGCAGCATCTGCACTAATTCTCCCTGGGAAGTAGGCTGGGGACCACTGGGCCTCTATCTGCCTGGCGGGCAGCTTTCCCAGCTCCAGTGGCTAACTGGGAACAGGGCTCCTGAGGCTGGCTGCCCTCAGGCTGATGAGTTTCTGTTGAGGCCCAGATGAGACCAGGAGAGACACAGAGAATGTGTGTAAACTAAGTCTCTCCGTGGGATATTGGACATGACTAAGAATCCATCCCTCAAAACAGCAGCCGCCGCCAAAGGACCACCAGACTGGCAGTGCGGCCCCACCCCCCCAGAGGGGTGGGGGACTGCGGAGCTGGCCACTTTCATATTGGGCTTTTTCAGGCCAGGCTGGCTGGTCCTGCAGAACTTTCTCCCTTTTTCCTTCATTACTGAGGGATGGCTCTCTGGGCAGGGAGGAGAGGCTGGAGATAGAGAAATGAAGGTGCAACGTCTCTGCCCTTTCTGTCTTAAGTGGACGCCTCCCAAAGGCCCAAGGCCCTTAAGATTTGGAGCCAAAAGGGGCCCAACAGACTAACATATGCACATCGTTACAGCTAGGGACACTCAAGCCAGCTCTCACAGTGCACCTGACTGGCTAGTCTAGACTCTAGGATGGGAGAGAGATCTGGAAGGCCTGAGCCTGTGACCTGTGCCACTCTGGACACCCCGAGGGTCCCAAGAACCTCTTTGAACTCCAGCAGGCAGCCTGGGGGGTCTCTGGAATGGGGGCACAGTGGAAATGTCAGGAGGAGTCTGGGGTTCAGTTGTACCTTCCAAGTAAATTCTCCTGTCTAGAAAATAGAACCACCCAAACTCTGAAACCTTCCTGTCTGAAGATCACATCAGGCCAGGGATGAGAAGGCACTTTGTTCTTTGGAACAAAGTTCTGAACAAATGATTTTTTCAAGCTCTTAGGCAAATGAGCTTTAAAAAAAAATGGAAAAGAAAAAAATTACATGCCATGGGAACCGATGGCAGCGAGGCATTTTCTGGAAATGTCACAAGTGGAGCTGGAAGAGAGCAGGAGGAGCGAGTGGAGGAGGGGCCACAAAGCCAGCCGGGCCTTGCAGACCAGCTGGAGAGGACAGCGTCCCTCACTGGCTTCCTGAGCCACCCTTCCTGCTCT